TAATATATCTTTCACCAGCCACCAAAAACTTGCCAATTAGTGCACGATACACAAACTTGTACAGTACCTGAAAAGCTGTCACATCTATTTTCAACAGTCGAGTTACTTACATGATCGTCGATTTTGGGGAGTGAACTCGTAACAGCGACTGTAGTCTTCGCTGCTGCAATGTTAAGTCCTGGCACGTTTGCAATCCCTGAATTATTTTTGCCATCTACGTGACGTTCTAATTCAGTGTCTTGAAGTTTCGTGGGCGCCATTTGTGTGGAGGCCTAACAAGAAAAAAAAAGGGACACCCGTATTCGACTGCGGTAAATATTTGTTGCCGGCAGGTCATCAGGTCAGAAATGCTACTGCGGGATGTTCACCAAAAATGGAATATAGGACTCATCAATTTTCTTAAGTTGTACAAGCGTGTGCACAAATAAAACAAGATGCCGTGTTCTTATGTAATAACAATAATAGTGCTGTCGCCATCGCTATTGTCTATTGTAAACATACCTGCACGATAACGTTTATAGTTGTAACGTCATGTGGCAGAACCTGAACCAGCATTATCGCGGAACAGTTCGGAACTTAGTAAGGAAAGTCTCCAAGTCAACCGACATTTAAAACCGTAAAATCTGGTCTAGCATCAAAGCCCACTGAAAACGTTCTTCCTAGCTGTTCTCCTATTGCGCAATCAAGTCCTATGGGAATTTTTACCAATAATCATTTTATTCACACTCGGTTTATTCTTAGTTTGATTCCTGTTTACTGAATGACACTCCGGCATGCGATATGCGTTTAATCTACGTATAGCATTATGTACGTTATTGAATGTTTAAATCGAATTTTACCCCAACCGTTTTTTGGCGACGCTTTTCTTGGAGATTTAATTGTGCTAGCCTGCAGAATGAATTGATTCTTTTTACAGATTCAATATTTTCTTTTTTCTTATGTATTTGATATTCAAAATCTTCAAAAAATAAATGGTATAGATAGAATACTAAACAATCTTAAACAATCATTAATGCATATATGCAAACTTTTCTAAGCGCACCATCCTTAGGTGCAAAACTTGGGACTTAGTACTAAGTGCACACCTCTATTCTTCGCACGTGCATAAGTCTTTCTTATTCTTGCCGCCTAAATTCAAATAGCGAAGTCCCAATCCTAAATCTAACTCCCGAATATAGAAGCCCCAAAAGTTCCAAACTCAATTCTATACTGTATACCGACAATTGGCCAGTAAATTACTAACCAATAAAATTTGCATGGTTGTTCATGTAACTTCTACCCTTAAAATTTGGATCTGGGATTTTTAAAGAGCTTTAAGAGCGTCAGTTCGCATTTACTAATTTCCCCCTCAAGTTTCTATTGGCTGGGATTATTCGCACCAATTTATATATCACTTTCTATTTAAAATGTGACACCTAAGTTAGGGTTTGGGGTTGGCGTTATGAACAACCTTAAACTAAAATTTTGCAAGGATTTTTTTTTTGTTAGTGCCCAAAAGGTGATTTCTTAGGCGAAATTTTGAAATAAATGAAAAAAAGCGATTGTTGCTTTGATCTTCACGTTACACCTGATCTTGCATTCTGATTGGCCAGAATCAGAAACTTGGGGGAAATTAGTAAACGCGAAGTTCTAGATAGTTTTAGCATGTTTGGAATTTGGAATTTTGGAATTGGATTTTGTGACACTTTGCGGCAAGTATAGTTTCTATGGAACTCAGCCGGATATGATATTTCGAGTATCGCCCATAAAAAAGGTGCTTCATATGATTCTTTAAAGTTCATTATTGTTTGGGGTTGGTGTCTCTATTAGGATTAGGCGTTAGCATATACATTAAAATCACTCAAGGAAACTTTTTGCCCGAGTACCAAAGATGGTTTCTTATGCAGATTTTTGGTAAATGGACGTTCAGAATGTTTTGATCGTGTACATTTCACCTGAAGTGTTTATTTTTATTGGCTGATCAGCGAAAACTTTGATTGGCTAAATCAAAGATCAAATTCACGTTACCCTTGTACTTTAATTTCAAACAATAGGTAAAACAATTTTATATATAAAATATTTAGTCAATAAAATTCCCGTGAATTGAAATAGCAACGGGATGGAAATCTAGATTTATTCAAAATTAATTGGGAATTTTCTGAATTTAAATAATAAGTCAACATAAAATAAAGCTTCTAGATTATAATTATAGTTTAAATTTTTGAAATATTATTTGCAAATTTAATTTTGAGATAATAGCTGACTAAGCCGACTTAGCCATATTAAAATTATCGACTCCAATCACTACTCTCATTGTCATCATTATCATCATCATCGTCATAGTCATCGACATTGACATCATCATCATCATCATCATCATCATCATCATCATCATCATCATCATGGTTTTTCCTAACCTTTCCCTAGAAGAAATTTTTAATTTAGTAAAAGCTTAAATAATTTAAACCAAAAAAACTAGTAATACAAAATGAAACACGTACAGTGAAACCGGTAGGGTGAGACAATTGATATTCCGTAGTGTTCTTGTCAACTTCATATTCTGGGTTGGTGAATAGTTCGATAAATTTTTTGTCTTGGAGAAGGTTTGTCGCTTCCTATTATTTGACGGATGAAATATTTAATAAAGTGACAGAGGCGTGTCATTTATCATGTATTAATTTTACAGTACCCAGGGTATTATTCAAGAATTTCATTTTTAAAATTGAATAATACCAGGTACTTTATTGGTGAAGGGGTGTACTTTATACGATTTACCAGTTAACCTCATGTGTTCGTGGTAAAATTACGTGCTAAATGGTGTACTCCTCAAGAGCAGTAAAGTTACATGAAATTTTACAAACCTGGGCTCCTTTCTTCTTTTTCTCAGATGAACGTAACAGTCGATTTGCTAAATCCTTGTTAACTTTAGGCAATTGTTTAGTAGCACGTATACGTGACTCGCGCTTCGCTTCTAATTTATCTTTAATAACTTTTTCTCGATATTCCGCATAAGCGAATGGATTTGATATAAGTTTTGCCTGTATTATTTGGAAATTTTAGATTTTATCTCGTAAATTAAGAAAATGTGGATATTTACATACTTGTTCATATAATCGCAAATCAACGAAAAATCCATGCATGTACGGTTTCATGACGTTGGTTCCGATCAAATGATCCATACCGAGGCTGCAAACAATCGAAGAAAATCCTTAATATGTGAAAATGCTTGATGCATACAAATAAATAAAATGAAATATTAGTTCTCTGACCTTGACAATTCTTTTCTCGTAACAAATTTATAATCATCATAAATATTTGGTTGCGGATTTTCTTCCATTTCTTCCTACGTAAAAAGGTATACATTTACCGAGTGCAATCATAAAACGGAATGAATTATATAAAAGAATATTTACTGTTAAGTTGTCCAAAAATGAGCACCACCTTGGTGCAGGGCCTAATGAAGGTATATAATATGCGCCAATTTGTATACCCTCGTTAGCCATAAAAATTAATCCTGAATCGGGCACAACACACAGATCGTTGATATCAGTGTTAGGCTCCATCGAGGTAAAATGTGCACCCTTATTGTAAAATTTTCATAAATTGTTAAGCATGAAACTCAAATTATTAACTTAAGTAACTAGAACTTATACTAACATTTTCCCGATCCCATATTTTCATAATTTTGCAATCTGCACTAATTACTTTTCCTCGGCCACCGTCACCTGTAGCATTATCATACCAATTTATACTTTTTATCGGGTAACCATATTGATGATCTTTGACTAACCATGGTGAGGAATTTCTTAGATCATATAACAATATGTGACCCGTTGAAGTTCCTACTGCCAAAGAAAGTCCATCATTTCTGTATGACATTGCGGTAACTTGAAATCCCTGCTCGTTAGATTCTTCTACTGGAAAAGAAGGTGCTAACAATCCAACACGAGATCGTGATCTAGGATCCCAAAATTCTACAACGCCGTCTTGTGTTCCAAATCCAAAAAGTTGATGAGCTGGATTTATTACACAAACATTGACTCCAGATGTGGCATCAGTAGAAATAGGGTTTAAAAATCGGCCTTGATTTAAGTTTAATCGATATACTTCATATGATGCAGCAGTAATTAGAAGATCGCATGTAGGATAATGATAAGCCAAGTCTCTGCCAAACTATATGAATAAAAAAAGTCTTTGAATACAGTACATATATAATAATTGCCGATATCCTATTTAAGCGTTTACCTTTGGTATTCTTGTTTTATAATATATACCGCCTTGTGTGTGGAATTCAATCGTTCTGTCATTTTGTAATAATACTGATTTGGTCCAATCGTCAGATAATATCTATGTATATTATAATTCAGAATAAAAAAAATCACTATTTTCAAATAAGCGCTAGGATATCGATTCTCAAAAAGCCAAATGCACATGCACACTACCACAAAGTTAATGTTCTCCGAGTCTGTATGACGATCAAATTTCATCGCCATTTCGGCATACTCGAACACCCGAATTTGAGGTTTATAAACACCTATAAACGGGGATTTATTGATAAATATTGCTAGAAGTTAAACCCTTTTTTTTTTGACGAAACAAAATTGTATTACCTGTAGCCATTACAAAACGTCCGTCCCTAGTGGTTCTAGCTCGAATAGAAGCCTCTGGGAACTCAAAATCTTGAATCAGTTCGACTCTTGAACGCCAATCTATCGGTTAATGTATTCGATTAAGACATTCGTTGCAAAGACAAGACGCAAATTATGAAATCAACTCACTAAACCTGGATCATGCTTTAAAAATTTTTTCTTTTTTCTCTCTAACCAGTCGGGCATTGCACGGGAACCAGAGCCGGAGATCGTGTAAATTTTAACATTATTTAGGTTTGACGACTGAAGAACCATTTGTACGTAAGTATATCAAGGATTTTTCATTTATGTAATTCATTAATTGATAATCTAATACCTTTAAGAAAATCCCGGGCTGCAGATCATATCCGAAGGCATCTTACCGTGACCAATTTTTTTCAAATTTCCTTATTTGGGGGACGTCTAAAGCGGAGGCAACTTATATTTAATAATTTTTTCGATTAATTTAGGGTTAGGGTCTTCTATA